TATATAAATGATTCAACTGATAATCTACCCTCATAAATCAACCTATTTACCGTTGATTGCATTACATACCATGTTATTAACAGTAACTCATACGTTGATCTACTTCAGTCTAATATAAACTGGGTTCGTGGCTGGGCTAACACACTGAACAAGCCCCGCTGCGGTGGTCTAGTGGCTAAGGTACTCGGATGCTGACCCGCGGGTCGCGGGTTCGAATCCCGGCTGCGGCGGCTGCATTTCCGATGGAGGCGGAAGTGTTGTAGGCCCGTGTCCTCAGATTTGGGTGCACGTTAAAGAACCCCTGGTGGTCGAAATTTCCGGAGCCCTCCACTACGGCGTCTCTCATAGTCATATGGTGGTTTTGGGACGTTAGACCCCACATATCAATCAATCAACACACTGAACAAGGAATTAAACGCTAACAAATGTTTGTAACAAACAATCTGTTTGTAACAAACAGATTGCTTTAAATGCGAAGCATTTCTTAGGGAACTTCGGCGAATTCGAGCCTGCCTGCCTGCCTGCCTGCCTGCCTGCCTGCCTGCCTGCCTGCCTGCCTGCCTGCCTGTCTATATCTATCTATCTATCTATATCTATCGATCTATCTATCTATCTATCTATCTATCTATCTATCTATCTATCTATCTATCTATCTATCTATCTATCTATCTATCTATCTATCTATCTATCTATCTATCTATCTATCTATCTATCTATCTATCTATCTATCTATCTATCTATCTATCTATCTATCTACGACTTTTAGCCCTCCTCGCGATTTCGATTATAGTGTCTATACCAAAATTGATATGCCATAGCATGACTGTATGACGAGTATAACTGACTAGTCATAACATAAAAATCATGACATGTATATCAATGAATGCCATAATTTACATGTCATAAATTTGCTGCTCTTGTGGTGGTTTCGTTCACAAGACATATTGCAAAACTGGTATGGTATGACATCACTGCATGGCGAACATAAGTAACAGACTCTTACGTGAAAATCATGACATGCGTATCACGTAAATCATGGCTACACGCGACGCTCGATCATGGTGTGCTAGCGGTCGTTTCGCTAGCTTCACACATACCAAATTTGGTATTACAGAACGTGAATAGATGACGAAGATATATGACTGGTGTAAGCATGGTAATCACAATATACGTGTTATGTAAGAACATGACTGCATGTCACGCTGATGGTGCGCTCGCGGCCGTTTCACTAGCTTCCAACATACATTTATTGTTACGTGACGTGAATGGATGGCGAAGATATAGAACTGGTGGAAACATGATAATCATGATATGCGTGTCATGTAAGAACATGACAACATAACACGCTCATTATGTGCTCGCGGCCGTTTGGCTAGCATCAGATATACCAAATTTGGTAATACGTGACGTGAATGGACGACGAAGGTAAATTACACGTACAAACACGATAATCATGACACAAGGGTTATTTAAAACATGACTACATGCTACGCTAAAATCACGTTCGTGGCCATTTCACTAGCTCCGCATATAGAAAAATTTGGTAGCCACGCCACGGTGATCTAGTGGCTAGGGTACTCGATCGGCTGCTGACCCGCAGGTCGCGGGATTGAATCCCGGCTGCGGCGGCTGCATTTTCGATGGAGGCGGAAATGCTGTAGGCCCGTGTGCTCAGATTTAGGTGCACGTTAAAGAACCCCAGGTGGTCGAAATTTTTGGAGCCCTCCACTACGGCGTCTCTCATAATCATATGGCGGTTTTAGGACGTTAAACCCAAGATATCAATCAATCAAACCAACCAAATTTGATATCACGTGACGTGAATAGACGGAGGTAAATGACACGTCCAAAGATGATAATGATGGTATGCGTGTTATTCAAAAACCATGACTACATGCTACCCTCCTATCGTGCTGGTGGCCGTTTCAGTAGCTCCACATATACCAAACTTGGTATTACGTGATGTGAATAGACGACGTAGGCGAATTATGCACCCAAACATGATAATCATGACATGCGTGTCATGTAAAACATGACTACATGCTACGCTCATAACGTGCTCACGGTCGTTTCGCCAGCTTCACATATACCAAATTTCACACAGCCAAACGACGAGCGCAATTGCCAGGCACAAACATGATAATCATCCCATGGAAGTGATGTACGGCATAATTTACGTCAGCCTCGTAACGTTGTGCTGATTTTAAAGTGACATATCAACGTTTTTCATACGTGCTTCGCATATCATTGATTCTCATTGTACGTGGGATATGTCAATTTGTTGTACTTTTACTGTGTACGGTTTATTGTTCGTTTCCTTTATTGTATCTTTGTAAGCCCCAATTTTTTGCTTTGTTAAGTGTGTCGTATTCAAAATATTACCCTTTCCCTCTTTAATGCTCTAGGGTCCTGAAAGTACTGAAATAAATCAATTATTTCATAATTATATATATATATATATACATATATATATATATATATATATATATATATATATATATATATACGATAAATACCATAAAATATTTACTGGGGCTTTTAAAACGTTTTATATGAATATGCTTTTCAAATAGAATAAATGACGATGGTACTATTTTATCAACGACAGTTCACATCATCGGTCTGAGTGTAGCATCGATCATTTCTCGGCTACGTGTTTCAGGTCTTAATACTCAGCATTAAGCTCGCGCAAGGCCATGCGTACGCAATGTGTAGCACTGCGTCCGCGACGGTCATGCTGTCTTCCAGAACGTCACAATACCACGACCATCAAATTAAAAGTACAGTAAGCCACAAAAAATTGTGGACTCCTCGAGTGCGTACGAAACTGCCTGTCTGTGCCACCATGCGCCATCTACCGTCTACCACAGTGCTTGGCCGGAAACGGGTCTTGTTGTTATTCACTGGTCTCAAAATTTTCGGAGTCCTCCAATACGGGGTCTCTCATAACCATATGGTGGTTTTGTGACGTTAAACGCCGCATATCAATCAATTATTCACTAGTCTTTCAATCTTCCACTTCAGCGTAGCGCTATGTTAGTTAGCAGTTTTCACGCGAAGCGCTTATCTGCCGTGTGACCATCACCTTGATTTTTTCATAGCAGAATCAAACTTATCACGGCGTGCCTCAAGCGGTGTTTCATTGGCTAGGTGTCACTTTGGCATGAAGATTGTCACTGATAACAGTTCTGCTCATCGAGGTAGAAGCATGTAGGCGCAGATGCCAAAAAGCACGTTGCGTTAAAAGCCATGTCCGACGATTTTTTGAGGTCGCTGGATCTAAATGAAATTCACTGGGTACGTTCTTTTGCATATTTGGGTCATTTATGCTGAATTACAGGCTTGAGAGATGCGCTGAGTGTTTGCAAATGAATTTTAAAGATTGCCTCGAAAATCTCATCTCGCTTGCCAGAATTATTGGCAACACTGTCTGTGTGACGTCATGTTTGGCATGTCAACGGAAGTGACACAGCTGATGGCATTGCTATTTTGGGCCACTACAGCGTTTATTTTGCTTTTCACAAGGCGACGGTGGCAGCGTTTGACACGGGTATAGCACGGGAAAGCTCTCTTCCTTCTTCTGCGGTGTTTGGCTGGCGCTTCACTCGTCTGGCTTTCACAGTTTCGATAGTACGCGCCGGCGAAACCAGTATACGGCCTCCGGTTTTTACCAAATAGTACGTCACACGCAGAAAAAGATCCCGGTCAAGTTTCGGTTTTGCACCTTTTTGCTTATTAAAAATTATTTTCAAATTTCCTGAGCATTTGAGCTATTGGGCTCGTGACAAGAGTGGCTCGGGAACATAAAAGTGCCATTACCTTGACATTGTCGAAAAATTGCCGGAGTTGGCCTTTAAAAGGGAAAGGTGAAAATTATTTCTACCCAGTCATAAACATTCTTGAACCGTGGCCAGAAAAGAGGCAGGCCATAGATTAAGGCAGGGATACTTCTCGGGCGCTGTCGACCGCCACTGACGTATGTGCAGTGTCGCGAAGAGGTTTTTGGCCACGCGCTCACATGGTCCGAAAACTTTTGTGGTCAACTGTACATTGTGCTTGAGCTTTTACAAAATTGCGTCTAAGCGTAACCTTGCGTCGTCTAATAGTGCAGACTTTATTTTTTGTGTACAGATCAACAGAAGTCGAGGTACAAGATAAGTTTGCTTAACAGCTCTAGCTATACGAAACACGAGCTGCGAGATCAGCAGCCCCGCGCTGATGTGCGGTCGCAGAATAAACAATGTAGCGTGCGCAATGAAAGTGCGAAGGTCTTAGCATAGGCGTAGCTAGCATGCGTCACAACACGCATATATACCTTCAGCGTTTGCTCCGTGTCGATATCACATTTCTTGTACGCTAAACTGTCGGTATATGCGGAAGCACCTAATATGTTCGTAGCCCTTTTTCGGATCTCGCGCACTTACTTTGTAGCTGAGAAAAACATAATCTTAGCCATTACAACTCTTCACTCCCTAATACATTATACGAATATATATTGATATACTCCATACATTCCTCATCAAGGTTACGCATTTAAGACAATGTTTTTACTATATCTAAATATTTTTTCGCAAAGCTACTTTAAGCTAATTCGTTATGCTCACTCATTAGGCTCACAGTAAGAAGTAGTCTTAGTTGCTCAAAAGGAGACTAAAGACCAACATGAATCATTGAAGAGCCTTTGATGTGTTTTTTTGTGTTTTTTGAGCCAGCTCTGCCTGGCAGAGCTGGCTCAAATGTTCGCATGACCTTCAGCCTATCTGTGGGCTGCAATTAAGAGACTCTAATATAAATTTTTGTACGATGCACAATGTTATTCACTCTCAACAGGTTCATTTCTTTGAGTAACTATAAACAAATGTAATGGCAAAATAACATGGGTTTAGCCTAGCACAGGGCATAAATTGTACCAAATTATGCTACGACTAAATACTAAACATAAAACGTTGTTTTACTCTCAGAGCTAACTTCTGTACTTTTTGTAGATAATGTTGTCTCACCTCTTCTCCTTCTTCGGTCCACTTCAAAACAGATTCATCGTCACCGTAGCAACCAGCTCCACTGATAACTATAGAGCCACCTTTACGCCTGAAAAAGAGATAGAACAAAAACGGAAGGCCGATACTCAGGCTCAGTCATGATGAAACAACCAGAAACGCTGTTCGGAGTCTATGTTCACGTCTGCATAAATTCCCAGCATAAAGCTCGAAGCAACAAAACGGGAAGTGGCGTGCCAGAGTGCGCACGAGCGGTATAGTAAACGTTTTAATTGAAGCGATGAAGGCAGGAAAACTATTAGAATCAGCCGAACATTACACAAATACTTAGCGTAGAGCCTCCTACCTCAGTTCAACAAGGCAGCGGATGGCCTTGTCAGAGATCTTGATTCTCTCCTGCACGAGTACTTCGTATGCATACTGGGGGTCCATGCTGCTAAAAGAGATGTTGCTGCCTAAGTCGCTGCTTGGCTGGTTGCCGTCGTACGAAGGCCCCTCAGGCCATTCGCTAGTCGTAGCTTCATGAGTGGTGGACGTTTCGGCACCGTCATCATTCTCTGTCCAGAAAGAACCCGTGCTGGAGCGCTCTTCCTGGCTGCCCATAGTGAGGTACACTGTTGGCACAGTTAGTCGCTCAAGCAACCGCTGTGCCTCTTCGCTTGCGAAACAAGCTGAGGCAGGGATCACTTGCGAGTCATGGCCAGCCAGAGAGGGTGTACCGTCGTCAGCGTACTGTACAAAGAAGTCGTCGAAGTCGTAACTGTCGCTTGTCAATGACGAACTGAGCGTGTCCCGGCTGAGCCAGGCAGGGAGGCAATCGACGCTGGCGTTGTGTCGTTTCAGCATGTGGCTGAGTGTAGTATTGGTGGAGCTCCACGAAGACTGCTTCCGTAGCGGTGCTGCCAACTCGATCATAGAGACGCAACTATCAGCCGTCCGGAGACTCCACTTGCGCGAGTCTTCTTTGCACACTTCGGCAACAGGACAGATGCTAATCTCTGATGGATCCATGATGCGTCGACAAACCTTTCGACCAGAAGACGACTCTAGACAAAGTTGGCTTTCGTCGAGGCATTCGTTCCTCTTTTTCACTTCATTCAAGTGGCTATCCACCGACGACTTCATTTCTTTCGCAAAAGCGGTTGGCGGTACGCAAGAATTACACATGTTGCCCCGGCTGTCTCGGGTAGCCTGTTTGTCTCTATGGTCACCCAGTATGCCTTCGCTCACGTCTACTGTCGCCTCCTCTTGTGTAGCGTCATAAACCTCCTTGACACCTTTCAGCTTAGTTGCACTACGCCTCTTTGAAGTCGGGGAAGATTCCTCCTCTGACGTATTCCTCGGGGAAGACGACAGGCAACTAGTGGACTTGCTGATGACCGTGCGGAAAGAATGCTGGCTGCCACTCGTATCATTCACACAATCGTCACTTTTATACGCAGTCAACGAGCCTCCCGCAGGCTTCGTTACGTTCTTGGGGGTGGATGTGGCGTAGCTGCTGTCATTTCGAGCTTTCGCTTCGGATTCTTGGCCTATGGATCGGTCATCCATTGTTGGCGAAGGTGCGGGCTGTAAATAACAAGCGGACAGTGCGTATCAGCACAAAGGAGGACAAAACTCTTTATTAGTAGAAACAAACATTGTATGTAGAACTATCGGCACTACAACAGTTGTCGTTCCTATATTTAGCGTAAGTACCGAGCTGGAAATAAATGAGTCACTTACAACGAACTTGGCGACCGATGAAACTTCAGTGCTCGAGTCAGTCCTGCAGTCGGTTGAGGCCAAGCACCTCGGCAGCAGATGGTAGATAATGAGAAAGCCCTGAGCTGTGCCCACCAGCACGCTTCCTGGCAGAGACAACAGGGCCGTGACGCGCGCTGGGTTCAGCTCGTTGTCTTCTTCTTGTTGCTACGAGTTAGAAGGAAGAATGTTTATCTCGACAAATACGGGCCCGTATTCACACATACCCACTGAACATGTAGGCTGCAAGTATTTGCAGTAAAATAGTCCTGACATCAAGCATACTGAATCCGAGAGCATTTATTACCCAGCAAGACGGCCAGCTGGGCGAGTTGGTTGAGATTCATCGTGAACTTCGTTTACAGCGCAACGCTAGAAACACGGACACAAAGAAGGAGCAAAAGCACATCGCCTGTAATAAAAAAATTGTGTATGTCATTCCATTATTATGTGGCGGGGAGTATGTAGGGCAAATGAAGCGATGTGTCAATGTTCGGCTGAGAGAGCATGAGCTCTCACTTCAAGGGTTTGCTGCTCAACTGTGGGTGTCGTCTTGTCTTTAACAAAACTACCGTCATTTCTAAACATGCGAACCCCTTGACAAGGGAAATTGCTGAGGCTTTTAACACATGGATTAGAGACAAGAGCTGTATTAGTGAAGCGTCCGTTTTTCTGCATGAGAAAGAATGTGATTACTTGTGTCGATCTTGAATATCTGCATGTACGTTGACGCTACCGGAATGTTTCCTGTGTACTGCGCATGTCACGATTTTGTACACTTGCTATATATATTGTTAATATTTCAATTTTTAACAAAAATCAATTGGAATTCCGAGCCATCTTTTCTTTTTTCCTTTGCTCCTTCCTTGTGTCCATGTTTTTAGCGTCACGCTGTAAACCAAGTAGACGATGTATCGCTACCCACTTTGACAGCATCTAGATCCTCTGAGTTTCAGAGACGCATGCCTACCTAATCAAAACTTGAAACGGCATAGAACACGGGTGATGACCGGAAGAAATTTCGAACACAGGAAACAGCACTGGCACCAGCGCTGTTGGTGTCTTTCTTAGGTACGGTGTTTCTTTTTTTCCAGTGGTCTAGATTTGTCTCAATTAGACAACTTTCCTATTGGAGAAACGACGATATATCAAACGAAGGACAGCCAAGAGACAAAAGCATAAATTATCTAACTGAAGTTACAAAACCTAAAAGAAGAATCACGATTTAAAGACTGGTCTGGTTTGACCCAGCATATAACCAAACACTGACCCTGGGCGAGCGGGGGTAGCGGTCGTCGCGCACATCATAGAGCATCTTGCAGGTGAGGGCCTGGGCATCCCATAGCTGCAGCACGGAAGAGCCGCGCAACGCGAGCCAGACACAATGGTCGGTCGCGGGGTCCTCCGCTGAGCATGGCTGAAGCAGCGATATGTAGTCCAGGCTGCTGGGCGATACTTGGAACTGGTCCACTGTGTCCAAAGTCCTGCGCCGCAATAAACAAGAACTAAAAAATATTTGCAGGTACGCACCAGACAAAGGATTTGCACCACGTATAAGAACAGTTTTATAAATTGTGTTCATCACATCCGCAGCTTATTAGGAGTGGAACATGCCACACTACTACCTTTCGCCATTTGATGTCTCACAAGCACTATTGATCGCAAAGCTTGAGTCCCTCCAACAATTCACTCCGTGGCTAATGAGATGGTAATTGAATATGCATTGAGTACTAGTGACAGACAGTGCGTGATACAATAAGCACAGTTGAGACTGGTAAGGGGGCACAATAACAAAGATCACGACTTAAACAACGCAGGAAAGAACAATCATATATAATTACACTGCTGTCGACCATAGAAATTTGATAGAGTGCAACGTCATTACTACATTTTATTTCAGACTATCGCAATCTACCGTTGAAGGATTTATTCACCGAGTTATGCTGCCAGGCAAATCACATTTCTATGCCACATTTATTAAGACATGGAATAACTAAGGGAAGACAACTAAATGAAAAAAATTCACAGCATATCCACGGAGTGAATGATCGCGAGGAGGGCGAAGCGTCCGTCCGTCGTTCGTGCGCTCCTACACACTCACACTAGAGCACGCATCGAACGAACGAAAGGACGCTTCGCCTCACTCATCATCATTCACTCTGTGGATATGGTGTGAATTTCTCCTTATAACAGCGTCATCTATCCTCTTCAATTGCTAGCTATATGAAAGTGACTAACGCCATCTAGTAATATTATTTTCAAGGACATATACACACTATGCCATATAGTGAGCAATTCATAAACTAGAGGTGGCTACATGAATACTTCATACAAACGGAGGAGTGAATGACCCCCACCCTTAAGAGCTTCGCCCCTAATATGAAAGGGCGTTCGAGCAGACGGAGTCTTTCGCTTCAGTTACTGTTGGGAGGTAGTAGCATGCTGAGTTTACCGGTGTTGTTTTAGAACAGTGAAGAACGCAGGACGCACCTGGCACTCAGAATGATGATCCTGTTTCCCGTGGCACACCAGAGCCTTTTGTCGACCAACTTCAAGCAGGTAACAGGACTGCTGCCGATGTGGATATACAGCACGTCGGGCTTGTCTGCGTGCACCGAGAAGTTCTGCAAGAGAAGCACATCTTCTGTAGTCTATGCAGCCTCTAGTCTCAGCTTAACATTGAGAACAAACACCACACGTTGTGCGGAAAACAAACACGCCTTTACGAAGCTTCCCAGCATCCAACAAGCTCTTTCATCAAGCCGGTTAGCACAGACAGCCCGCAGAAAATTGCTCGATTAGAAATTACGGTCTCCCGTTCGATTTCCAACTAGTCACAGCGTCTTGCTATGAAAAGTGATTGTACACATTTCTTATATCAGTAATACAATTTTCCAGACGTATCACTTTTGCCTGGTCGCGCTGTATTGTGCTGCATGAGCGTTCGTAATTTTTCGTCGACGTGGCTCATATGATCGACCAAGTTCTTTTGTCGAAGTACCGTTTCTGAGTGACCGTAAATGACACCACAGACCATTGGTATAGACGCTATAAATCAAAACACGACAACAGATTTTCTATAGTTTATATTTGCAAAAAAAAAAACTGATGTTCTCTTACAGGTTTTCAGCCCATGCTTCTTTTATAGGCGTGTGGTCGGCAGGACAGGTACCCCCCTTTCGCCACCAAAAGCTTTATTTTGCTTTGCATGTACTTATGAGTAAACACGAACACAAAAGCACACATACTTCAGCACGTATCAAAACCTCGGTCCTTTCCTTACCCACAAAATAAGATTATGGCTACACGCCTGTCGCGTTTACATCAATCGTCATCCAAACAAAAACTCTACATCTGCTAGTGTAGAATGTATCAAAGGCGCCGTAGAATTGCAGTGTATAATAATCAACTAGATAAGTTGGTTCACAGCTAATGCTAGTTTAACACACAGCAGTGGAAACACGGGACAAATGGGGAACCCACCTCACTGTCTGTTTAGCATCTCTTTTGTGTTCTGCTGTGCTGGTCAAAGTGCAATTGTGTTTTCAGTTACATAGAACACCCTCTACATTAGAGCACTTTCAGATTCAACGTCACCAAAAAAATGTAAAGAGTGACATAATTAGTACGTATTACTATGTAACAGAGGAATAGGAATTGTGCCTATTTTAGGCCTCTGGGTGGATACGTGTCTCTCAACAATCTAAATGATCGCATCAGCTGAAGTTCCCAGTATCGCATCAATGAACCCTACCTGAAAACATAGATCGTGCTGTGTGGCGCAGCTAAATTCATTGATTTGATTTGATTGATATGTGGGGTTTGACGTCCCAAAACCACCATATGATTATGAGAGACGCCGTAGTGGAGGGCTCCGGAAATTTCAACCACCTGGGGTTCATTAACGTGCACCCAAATCTGAGCACACGGGCCTACAACATTTCCGCCTTCATCAGAAATGCAGCCGCTGCAGCCGGGATTCGAACCCGCGACCTGCGCGTCAGCAGCCGAGTACCTTAGCCACTAGACCACCGCGGCGGGGCGGCGCAGCTAAATGAATGCGTGATGTCGCCCTGCAGCCTTGCACAATTCATTTTCATTTCATTTTAATACCTTAAAAGCGCAACAGGGGCATCACATAGGGGGTCCATACCTCCATACATAAGGGGGTTTACATACCTCGATTACAGCCATGGTACCGTCCGCTAAGCCTGCGAACACTTGGCACTGGTCGTCCTCATCGTAGGAACAGAGGCTCAGTACAGATTCATTAAGCTGGGCTTCCCACTTCATTTCTCTGTACCAAGAAAATAAAGTTATCGCTTCATATGTCGGCCAAAGTAGCGAGGAAAGTACATGGCAACATTAACCAGCCAAAATATAAAATTATTCGCAGAGCTAATTATCAATCAACTGAAGTTATATTACAGTAGTTTAGTGTAGTAAATGGTATAGATTGAAAAAAAAAGGCTACAGTCTTCAATTTTTGTGCCAGAAAAATAAAAAATACGCCCTACTAGAAATCTCAGTATATGTTTAAAAAAGCACGAGACGCATAAAAGATTATCATACAAGAAAAAAATGATTAATTCCCCTTGAAACGCGTTCAAACACGTAAAACTACCCGCTTCCCCCGAATAAGTTATCGTGATATGAAATTTTCATGCCTCGATTGTGCATGCCAGTGCAAGTCATATTAATTATTGGGTTTAACGTTCCGAAACCACGGCATGATTATGAGAGACGCCGTGGTAGAGGGCTCTGCAAATTTCAGCCACCTAGGGTTCTTTAACGTGCACAAAAATGTATCTAAAAATACGGGCCTCGAGATTAAGCACAAGTCAACATTGTTGTTTATATGGTAAGTGCTGTCCCTCAGCCCAGTTGGAAATATGAATACATTTTGCTTCAACAAAAAATCCGTTCAACTAGGGCATCATTATGGTACTCAATGTGCCTGCGCTGCAAAGTGAATGGCTTGACACCAAAATATCGGATGCCAATAACCAGAAGCCACTCGAAAAAGTGGCGACTAAGAAGAAAAACGCAAAACAGAACTAATATAAGAGGACTGAAAATATCAGGGACCGAGTACACAAAAGTATTTTTTTTCATTAGTTATCTTCACCACTGGCCTTCTCTAATGAAGCTTCCAATAATTGAAGCATAATTCGCTATGGTGTGTCAATGACCAAAACTAACGCGTTTCGTGTACTCAAAGCGCTATAAGCCAGGAGTTCGGATATTTCATAAGATGGTTACAGCCTAAAGAAATATATAAGGTCGCCCCACAGTTGTCCCTGTCCTAACCAGAAAGTTCCAATCGATTAACTGTCCCATTGCGTCAGCTCATTTCCTTACGTGCCTTCTTCATATGCCGACCAACGAACGTAACTCCTACGATGATTCCGCTGGTGTTAGGACAAAACCTCAAACGCACTGGCTACATTTGCCAGAAATTTGGATATGAGCGTTCACTTAAACGTAATATTTCAGTCAAGAACGACAAACTCTTTATACCCTCGATAAGTACTCACGTTTACGTGTGCATTTCAGATGTGTTGGGGGCTTGTGGTCGGAAATTAGATTTTTTTTCTGAGGCACGTAGCAACCGAGTATAGGTTCGACATGTTGAATTAAATTGTCACATGATACTGAGTTGATTATGATAAAGTCTGCTTCAGCAGTATTTTGTATGATTTAGCCCCTCTGCGGACCCCTGCTGCACCCCACCACCCAGCCTCTGGAGTCGCGTCGCACATACGCCGCCCCATCCCCTCCTCGCCAACCGTGTACCAACCTGGTTCGTGTGCTGTAGGCGTGCACGAAGTGTGACAGGGTTCCCAGTAGCATCACATCGTTGCCCAGCGCGTGCATGCAGATCACTCGAGCCTCGATCTGCAAAAATCAAAACTCTATTGCACGCATGTATGCTGCTTGAGCTTAAATAGGGAATCCGTAAGCAGGGCAGTCATGAACACTGTATGTCTCTAAAGTTTTCTAAGAAAATGCAGTTAGTAGCTAGCAATGCATAATGACAAGTTTCCCAGGATTAGAATGGCATAGAGCGACAAGTCGTTACTGAAGTTAGATTCAACATCTTTAAATACTGCTTTATTATTTTCGATTAGGGGACCATGTTTGCATTACGAAGCAGTATATTCGAAGCTGGCTTCGTTACCTCAATTTTGAGCCTGTACATCACGCTGTCTTCACAGTTCACGCGTGAAAGTCGGGTCAGGTTAGAGCTGGCGTGACAGACCCAAATGGTTTCTGCAAAACAAAAATAGAGCAACAAGGCATAAGCAACAATTACGATATTACCTAATGTGACATATGACCGCAGCTCTACGTGGGTTTCTATTTTTGAGAATATATAATGGCCATTCTATAAATATTTTTATTATTATTACTGGTAATTTTCATTTTATGTCTTTTTATTTTTATTTATATTTGAGTTTTATGTTTCAGCGGAGAAGGTACCGGAGTAATTCAGCTGGCTTCGGTAAAAGAAGAAGAGCAACAAGCGGCTTCCCTGTGCTCACTGACTCGGTTACAGCAAGCACCAACCAGGCTAAACCCACGAAAGGGCGCCAGAAGCAACGCCTTAAGAAACAAGGAGGGGGGCAGTGTGATGGGAGACAGCTAGCAGCAAGTTCACTCGACGGTATGCGGCAGGATATAGTGTGACGAAAAAAAAAAAGAACATTTTGAGTACCACGCAGTCGCTTATGTTTATGATGGGCCTACTTTTCGTTTGTTCACTGCGACGCATGACACCAACGTCGTTAGAAGTATGTTCTGCCTGGTAACCACCAAGTTTACGACGCACGAAACAGCTATGTCACGGAGCGATGCGACTGTGCCACGGTGCACTGGCAGTATAACGTGGCCTTTAATACTCCGAACCCATTGGACTTATGACACTGTGCATGTATTTTATGCCCATAACATATTTTCTGGCTACAGTGGATTAAAAACTGCTAAAAGAGCTCCGACAAGAGCTTTTGCAAGTATTTCTGCATTATTTAGATAAACCCCCGCTCTCACTAATGTATCCTTTTCATAAAAGAGCACAAAAATATGCAAATACAAACTTTGCAGTAGATACTATAGTCGTAGCCAGGGATATCCAGAGTAGTAAACCCTTTTTGACTCCCGAAATCGTATGAAATGTACTCCCCCCCCCCTCCTGACGTAAACTCCTGCCTGTCCTTTTGATCGGAGCACATCCAAGGCAACGTATAATACACATCAAGAAGAGGAAATCGACATTGGGCTGGGCATATAGCGCGTAGACAGGATAGTCACTAGTCATTAAGGGTAAATAACTGGATTCCTAGAACGAATTTGGATTCCTAGAACAAAGGGAAGTGGGTTAGGGGGAGACAGAAGGTTAGGTGGGCAGATGAGATTAAGAAGTTTGAGGGTATAAATTGGCAGCAGCAAGCACAAGACCGAGTTGATTGGCGGAACATGGGAGAAGCCTTTGTCCTGCAGTGGACGTAGTCAGGCTGATGATGATGAAGACAGCTAAGCTATAACAAAAGGGGCAAAACAGAAAATCGAGAGTGGTATCACAGACGCAAGATGGCTAAAATTCAAGTTAGTCTACCATCCGTGCTTCATTGAACCTTTACAATAAATCACCTCGTTTGATACTATTCCCTCGAAAGTCTCACCAGAGTCACAAGCCGCTGCGCACTCAATGATGAGCGCGTTGTCACCATAGCAGCTTCCATCGGTGGCCTGTTGATGAATGAGAAGCAGTCACCTTTAAAAATTTGTTCGTTTCACGCGACGCCTCATAAGAGGAAATTTTCTCACCACTGTGTTGTCTCTGGACAAAACACTGTGCTTCTCAAGCTCCCGCTTCTTCGACTGTTCCCTGAGTATCTTTTGGAAGCAGGCCTGCTTTGCAGCAATGTCCTGCCGTCTTGGAAAGGGTTCCAAATCTTCAAAAGCAACCTGTTCAAACGCGACAAACAGATGTCCAATAAAAAAAAGCGGAAAAGCCAACATAAACATTAGGTTACTCAGTCATGCTACTTGTAGTGCAAGATCGGCAAGAAGATCGAGGAGGTTCACAGTCCCAAAGTAAGCTAAATAAGAGCGTCCGGTCTTATCCAAGAGATTACATATTAGAAAGAGACTGCAGTTATTGAGGTAGATAGCCGATGCTGCTAGCAACAAACATAATTGCTAAAGAAAACTCCGATGAGGCGTCCTCCATACAACCGACTATGAACATGCATTACCGATACTAGGATAAGTAAATCTTTCTCCTTGTCTTACCTCGTTCTGACTATGATTCAGCATTCTACTTTTCAGGCTCGTGCCTCTCAAATGTAAATTGATACAAGCTTACATGACAACGAGCAAACGTGATATAGTTTTAAACCTCAGCTTTAAGGTTGATAAACTGTAACAACTTGCCCTTAATATCGAAAGAAAGGGGGGGGGGTAATGTTTGGTCCTCACTGGTTTTATTGGCACACACTGGGCGTTAACCAACGCCATGGCCACTGCTTCACCCGCACAAAAAGCTCCCCGGTCAACTTACGCTACGACTTATGACTACATATACAGGTATGACATCACCTTGATGAGCATGTCCACGTCGTAGCAAAGACGAGCGATGGCCTTCAGCTGGCGCATGATAGACACCGTGTCCTGTTTCGTGAGCAACACTTCCTCGTGCATCTTAAGAATGGCCAGCGAGAAGCGGAACAGAACCTTGGGGCCCTCAAGTAGGAAGCAGTCCCAGATGCGCAGCAACGTCTGCGCAAAAGGAGTATTTCATGTATACTCCATAGCTCACAATTACAACGACTATCACTGTTTGCCTACATAGAGCAAATTCACTGTCAAGAGTATCAAACAATACAACATATTGACGCTGTCAATTGCCAGTGTTTTGGAGCACTCGGAATTCTCTTGACGTACTTACCCCGTCAATCCCTCAATCTCATTCCCGTCAGTATGAGAGAAGGTGAATATTTCATTCACATTGTTTCATTTACTTTGGGTTAATTGAGCACTGATGCATTTTTTGTTGCAACAAATAGCAATACCCCTTCATGAATGCTGGGAAGCTAGTTCGCTCAAGAGCGCGACAGTTAATTATTCGGAGACGTTTCTGTAGACCTCAGTCACAGTTTCTGTTTTAGAGAGGCTTTGCGTTTTGAGATGCGCTTACGGTATACGAAAAAATTACAAAGAACACAGGACAAATTTGAAGAGAACGGAATATCTTTATAAACACAGTTGGCCACGTGTCTGCGCTAGACCGTGACGCGCACAGCGTAGGTAGGCACGAGCGCGCCAGTGTCGCGTTCGTCAGCAAAAGCCCCCGACGATCTCGCTGTATGGCAGCCAACACAAACTCCTGACGTAGGCGACGGTTCGTCGTTTTCATTGAAACCAAGTTGGGGTCGATGTCGCGAGGTACGGCCAGTGCGACCACCAAGCTCTCAATTGCAAAACATGCACTTCCACTGTTATCTTGCATGAGCTGGATGTGTGTTCAAACAAATCTATCTCACCAGTGATTCAACCGATTATATATATTGTTGGAAAAAGAAACAAAAAAAAGATCGTTCTCACAACGTCAGTTAACTTTTCCATTTCACAGCTGAAACATCTCTAATTATTTAGGGCAGAATAAAAGAGAAGAGATTTTAGCCTTCACTAAAATAACTTTTGTAACTGCCGCCTGGAACCACCTACCACCAGGGCGATTTATGCGCTATGGTACCAATCGCTTACACAAACGGTTACCCCTCGAAAGGCAGATTGAAGAGTGTTATGGTTGCAAGCCTCGTAATTACGCTATAAATTTCAGGTCAACCTAAAAATACGTGACAGATGAATAAAACAGTAATCCGATTTTCCTTCCAATACTAACCTCTACAAGCAATTTCGAAAGAAAGGAAATTATGATACACATTACTTCAATACAGCTGCAAAAATGTGACAGATCTTGTCTACGAAAGGTTATAAAGTAAAGTCACAGTTTCGCTGCAAGCCGGGCAAATCAATGGATGCGATGGTAACTTCTAGTGCATTGCTCATGCCAAAAAGGACGCGCAAAAAGCACACACGCAAGAGGAGCGCATACAAACAACGTTCACAGCTGGACACTTAACATGCTGCTCCAACACAAAGGGCACACGAAACATAAGGCAAGTATACAAAGCACGAAAGCGAAGTAACAAGTGCCACAGTTGTTACTTGAATGTGTTTGAACAACGTGATTTTTTGCAAACTGGGCTTCTGCAGCGAGCGAAGTGACATTTCTGTGCTCTGTAACCGAAACGTCTTTCCGGAGAAAGCAATCGTTAATTGTACAAACTGCCCCGGTCCCAAAATAGGCGCGTACAGGCGACTACCTCACGCAGTGCAAAGTACAGGTTGATAAGTCAACGTATCGCACGATCGGGACGGAGAGCGCACACTTCACATCGTATTCGGTAACAAAAAAAAATTCTCTTCCTCGCACGGCCTCAGAGATGGTGCACCGGCGGGTAACCCGCCAGCGTGCAATCTCGGAGGACAAGCCCCGGATTGGCTTGTTGCCATCGGTAAATTGTGTGGATAAAGAGCTCGCTGTTAGTATACTGAAGGACGTGCGCTTCTGTGGCCAGGTGGTTATAACGCCCCGCACATGCGGAGCGACAGGACGCTGGTACGATTTCCCGCGTCGAAAAATGCTTTTCTCGAGTTTTTTTTTTCCTTCGTGGCTAATTTGTGGGACACGAATGCGACGGCAAAAACCAGCAGACTGAGTTCATATAATTGCTAACGCTAAAAGAAAAAAAAAACAGGAACGTCCAGGCCCGGCAAACATAAAGATACAATTAGGATTGTTCGGGTTTAACATCACAAAACCACCATATCGCAACGTTCTTTCCTGAAGATTCGTTATCGCCCCGTTACACTGTACGCAATTCTCAGCGCAAAGCACGCCTGCAGTGTTTGAGAAGCGTCGGTACTGTAGTACAGTAGTAGAAATAGACTTTTATTCAGCTAAATTTACAGGCCGAGCATTTCGAACGCCTGTGCGATCAGTCGACGCTGTTCTTCTCCTTCGGCGCCGATCCAGTCGAGCCAGGAGGTGATGGAAAGGGATGGGGGAGGGTAATAGCTGGATTGCTGAGCAGTTGGGCAGTAAAACAGGCAGTGTGACAGGTCAGCGTATGGGGAGGGACAATTAGGACAGCAGGGGTTAGACCTATATTTATAAAGGAAAAGGTGAGAGGGGGTTATCAGGCAGTTCATTTGGATGTGCCGTAGAGTTGGAGCCTCGAGCGCAGTGAGTGATAGATGAGGGGGAGGGTAAAGACGCTTGTCTAGCCGGAGCTGGAGATATACCTCCTTGATAGTGTGACGCAAGGAGATCTGCCCATCGTTATTCGCGGAGCTCTCACTGTCTTCCGAAGGTGTGGGCCAGGGAATGAACGGTGCCCGGTGCAATATATCGCGGGCAAGCTGATGAGCTAGCTCATTGCCGTTAATACCTAAATGCCCAGGAACCCAGCGGAGGAAGACAGTGGAGGGTTAAAGAGCAGAGGCCGCTCGCTCGACCTCCTGTTGAAGAGCAGGGGGCAACGTGTTGTTCCGTATGTGACAGATAGCGGAGTGAGAGTCGGAGTAAATCGTGTACTCGGGGAGAGAAGGGAGGGAGGAAAATGACTGCATGGCGTGGACCATGGAAAGGACCTCAAGCGAAAGTACATTTGGCGGGTGTAAGTATGGCCCGCTGGTGTGCGTGTCAGCTGCCGAAAGGTGTGGATGGTAGATAACGTAGCCACACGAGCCCCGAGGAGCCATGTACGAGGCATCCGTGTAAGCAACTCCCTGTGTAGAGAGAGGAGGAGAATGATGCTGTGCTGCCGCATGACGCCGGCCGGCGTGAAGAACGGGAGACATATTGGATGGGAGGGGAAGGGTACGAAGGTTAGAAGCAGCGGTGCTAGTGGCATTAGGCTATGTGGGAACGGAAACGGGAATGTGAGGGATACCGGCTTGGGCTAATAGCCATTGGCCTTGACGAGTGAGAAAAAGACGGGCAATCTGAGAGTCATGGTGCAGAAAAATAAGAAAACGTAATGGATGGAAGAGGCCTATGGCAAAAAGCTTAGTGGTAGAGGTAGTGAGAGGGAGGTCTAGAGCTGCCTTGTAGAGGCCTAATGGAGCTCTTTCGAGCTGTAGTACATATTACAGCTTACTATGGAACCTACGTGGCCGCCAGCGATAACGCTAGAATGTTCAATGCACGTGTATAAATACCGACGCGCTTCCCCGCTTCTCCGTTCATTGACGGCCGACACTCAGTTCACTGCTCTCAGGGCCAGTGTGAATCACTAAAAATCTGACTTTTTGTTAATCGGCCACAAGTTTAGCCGAATAAATTGTTTGATCTTTGAAGTTGGCTTCCTTCGTCGACGTCACGACCCTGAGGCAATATGATTTTACGAGACGCCGTAGTGGAGGATTCCGGAAATTTAGACCACTTGGAGTTTATCAACGTGCACCTAAATTAAGCAGGCGGGCCTGAAGCATTTTCGCCTGCATTAAAAATGCAAGCCGCTGCAGCCGGGATTCGATCCCGCAAACGGCGGGCCAACAGCCGAGTGCCTTAGCCACCAGACCACCATAGCGGGCGCAAACATACAGATCAGAGGCACATTAATAATAATGCAGTGTATTAGCAAGATACGTAGAAACTTAACTCGCCGAATTGCGAACTTGATGTTTAACTACTCCTTATTGTCCAAGTTTTAACGCACCTCTATAGCTTAACAATTATCTAATGCTGAATCTGCAGAACATATAAGCAGCCTCGCCGTGGTGGTCTAGTGGCTAAGGTACTCGGCTGCTGACCCACAGGTCGCGGGATCGTATCCTGGCTGCGGCGGCTGCGTTTTCGATGGAGACGGAAATGTTGTAAGCCCAGGTGCTCAGATTTCGGTGCACGTTAAAGAACCCCCGGGGGTCGAAATTTCCGGAGCCCTCCACCGCGGTGTCTCTCATATATTCATATGGTGATTTTGGGACGTTGTCACAAAACGAGCGTTAAAAAAAGGGCGCGCCACCAAATTCTCGCGACGAAACGCCGGAGTGACGCCGCGAGGTCAACGATAAAAAAAAAGAAAACAAGCATCCAAAGACTCCCCGGACGCGCGTGCCTCTCCCCTCGGAAGCGTAGGTGCGCCGACAAAACCTCCTCGCATCGGCGGCCGAGCAAGCCCTGGAAATTTCTCGATGGAAAGGGGCGTGATGATGCCGGGTTGAGTCATCCGTCGCGGATGGCCCCCGTATTGTCTCGCCCTTTCCCCCAGCCTTCGCTGCGTATCGCGCCGACGAAATGATGAGAACTTTCTGGAATCTCGCGCGGAAGCTATTTAATCGAGCAGCCGAGATGAGAGATCAGCAGAAGAAGGAAGTTAACGCCAGAGTGCGTAGGGTATCCCGCCGCGTCTGTAGGTGAAGGTTCTGTCCTTAGTGACAAAACAGGAGAAGAAGAAAGTATGCGCCAGAGTGCGTAGGGTGTTCAGCCTTGTGGGCGAAGCCTTTTGCCTTCCGTGACAAAGGAGGAGAAGAAGAGAATTTCCACCTGAGGGGTGAAGACTCGAGCTACAGGCAAGAGTGTGTGTCTACCGCTATCGAGCGAAGACGCGTGGCAACAGCTGCGTGTGTGAAGCCGACGTGTTTCCGGCGAAGAAGTTTGAAGCTTGGAGAGCAGCCAATTGAAGACGCGAGGTTTCCTGGAA